CTGGGAGCACTGGGAGGGCACTGGGAGGGCACTGGGGATACTGGGGGGCACTGGGGGGCACTGGGAGCACTGGGGGGCACTGGGAGGGCACTGGGAGGGCACTGGGAGGGCACTGGTCTGAACTGGGAGCCGGGTCTGTCCCCAGGATGTCACCAAGCGCCTGTCCCTGCCCGCTGACACCCGCCTGCCCGAGGGGGGGCTGGGGCTGCCCGGGCCCCTGAGCCGCCGCCTGCGCCGCGTCTCCCTGGTGCGTCCCAGTATAAACCAGTACGGACCAGTATAAACCAGTATAAACCAGTATGGAGGGACAGGGACTGACAAACACCGCTCAGCGCCCCCTCGGCTGCGTGGGGGGAGGCTGCTGAGCCTCCTTCTCCAGTGGCTTCTGCTGCTGCTTCCCAGTATAAACCAGTACAGACCAGTTCAAACTGGTACAGTGCAGTACAGACCAGTATAAACCAGTATAAACCAGTATAAACCAGTATGGAGGGACAGGGACTGACAAACACCACTCAGCGCCCCCTCGGCTGCGTGGGGGGAGGCTGAGTGTCCGCTTGTGCTGGCAGCCCCTGCTGCCTCCCAGTATAAACCAGTACAGACCAGTATGAACCAGTATTGGCCGGTACGGACCGGTTTAGACCAGTACAAACCAGTATAGAGCAGTATGGACCAGTATGAAGCAGTATAAACCAGTACAGACCAGTATAGAGCAGTATGGACCAGTATGAAGCAGTATAAACCAGTACAGACCAGTATAGAGCAGTATGGACCAGTATGAAGCAGTATAAACCAGTACAGACCAGTATAAGTCAGTATGGGCCAGTATGGACCAGTACAGACCAGTATGGGCTAGTATGGACAGTATAGACCATTATGGACCAGTATAAACCAGTACAGACCAGTATAAGCCAGTATAGACCAGTATGGAGCGGGAGGCCGGGTCCCCCAGCTGTCCCAGCTCTCCCAGTATCCGTCCCCTCTCTGCAGTCGGAAATCGGCTTCGGGAAGTTGGAGACCTACGTGAAACTGGACAAACTGGGAGAGGTGAGGCACGGGGACACCGGTGCCACCACCTGTGTCACCTGTGTGTCACCTGTGTGCCACCTGTCACCTGTGTGTCACCTGTGTGTCACCTGTGTGCCACCTGTCACCTGTGTCACCTGTGTGTCACCTGTTTGTCACCTGTGTGACCTGTGTGTCACTTGTCACCTGTGTCACCACCTGTGTCACCTGTGTGCCACCTGTCACCTGTGCCACCTGTGTCACCTGTCATCTGTGCCACCTCTGTGTCACCTGTGCCACCTGTGTCACCCGTGTGTCACCTGTCACCTGTGTGACCTGTCACCTGTGTCATCTGTGTCACCACCTGTGTCACCACCTGTGTCACCTGTGTGTCACCTGTGTGCCACCTGTCACCTGTGTGTCACCTGTGTGCCACCTGTGTGACCTGTCACCTGTGTCACCTGTGTGTCACCTGTTTGTCACCTGTGTGACCTGTGTGTCACTTGTCACCTGTGTCACCACCTGTGTCACCTGTGTGCCACCTGTCACTTGTGCCACCTGTGTCACCTGTCATCTGTGCCACCTCTGTGTCACCTGTGCCACCTGTGTCACCCGTGTGACCTGTCACCTGTGTCATCTGTGTCACCACCTGTGTCACCTGTGTGTCACGTGTCATCTGTGCCACCTGTGTCACCTGTCACCTGTGTCACTTGTGTCACCTGTGTGTCACCTGTCACCTGTGCGTTACCTGTCACCTGTGTGTCACCTGTCACCTGTGTGACGTGTCACCTGTGTCACCTGTGTCATCTGTGTCACCACCTGTGTCACCTGTGTGTCACCTGTCATCTGCGTCACCTGTGTCACCAGTCACTTGTGTCACCTGTGTCACCTGTGCCACCTGTCACCTGTGCCACCTGTGTCACTTGTTACCTGTGCCATCTCTGTGTCACCTTTGCCACCTGTGTGTCACTCGTGTTACCTGTCACTTGTGCCACCTGCGTCACCTGTGTCACCAGTGTAACCTGTGTAATCTCTGTGTCACCTGTGTCCTATTTGTGTCCCCACTGCCTGAGGTCCCCATGCCCCAAAACTCTGCAAAATCGCCTGAAATCATCTCATAATCATTCATGTCCCCATGTCCCTGCTGTCCCCGATGTCCCTTGTTGTCCCCAGGGCACGTACAGCATGCTGTACAGGTGTCCCTGCTACTGTCCCTGCTGTCCCTGATGCTGTCCCTGATGTCCCCAATGTCCTCAATGTCCCTGATATCCCCATGTCCCCAGGGCACGTATGCCACAGTGTACAGGTGTCCCTGATGTCCCTGCTGTCCCCAATGTCCCCCTGTCCCCAGGGCACGTACGTCACGGTGTACAGGTGTCCCTGCTGTCCCCAATGTCCCCTGTCCCCAATGTCCCAATGTCCCCTGCTGTCCCCGATGTCCCCAATGTCCCCATGTCCCCTGTCCCCAGGGCACATACGTCACGGTGTACAGGTGTCCCTAATGCTGTCCCCAATGTCCCCATGTCCCCTGCTGTCCCCAGGGCATGTACACCATGGTGTACAGGTGTCCCTGCTGTCCCCAGTGTCCCCCTGTCCCCAGGGCACGTACGCCACGGTGTTCAGGTGTCTCTGCTGTCCCCAATGTCCCCAATGTCCCCAACGTCCCCATGTCCCTGTCCCCAGGGCACGTACGCCACGGTGTACAAGGGCCGCAGCAAGCTGACCGAGAACCTGGTGGCGCTGAAGGAAATCCGGCTGGAGCACGAGGAGGGAGCGCCCTGCACGGCCATCCGCGAGGGTGGGACACTGGGGACACTGGGGACACTGAGGGGACACAGCCTGCACGGCCATCCGCGAGGGTGGGACACTGGGGGGACACCCTGGGGACACTGGGGACACTGGGGGGACACAGCCTGCACGGCCATCCGCGAGGGTGGGACACTGGGGGGACACCCTGGGGACACCCTAGGGACACTGGGGACACTGGGGACATTGGAGACACTGGGGGGACACAGCCTGCATGGCCATCCGCGAGGGTGGGACACTGGGGGGACACTGGGGACACCCTAGGGACACTGGGGGGACACAGCCTGCACGGCCATCCACGAGGGTGGGGACACTGGGGACACCCTGGGGACACCCTAGGGACACTACCTCAAGCACGCCAACGTGGTGACGCTGCACGACATCGTGCACACGCCGCAGTGCCTGACGCTGGTCTTCGAGTACCTGGTGAGCCCAAATCAGCCCGAATTCACCCCAAAATCCACCCCGAATCACCCCCAAATTAACACCAAAATTCACCCCGAATTCACCCCAAAATCCATCCCAAAATCAACACCAAAATTCACCCTGAAATCACCCCAAATCACCCCAAAATCCATTCCAAAACACCCCTCTGAAATCACCCCAAATCACCCCGAATTCACCCCAAAATTCACCCCAAAATCCACCCCGAATCACCCCCAAATTAACACCAAAATTCACCCCGAATTCACCCCAAAATCCATCCCAAAATCAACACCAAAATCCACCCTGAAATCACCCCAAAATCCATCCTAAAATCCATCCTGAATTCACCCCAAAATCCATCCCAAAACACCCCGAAATTAACACCAAAATTCACCTTGAAATCACCTCATCACCCCAAAACCCACCCTGAAATCACCCAAAATTAACTCCAAAATTCACCCTGAAATTACCCCAAATTCACCCCAAAATTCACCCCAAATCACCCCAAATTCACCCTGAAATCACCCCAAAATCCATCCAAAAATCCATCCTGAAATCACTTCAAATCACCCCAAAATCCACCCTGAAATCCACACAAATTCAGCCTGAATTCACCCCAAAATCACCCCAAATTCATCCGGAAATCATCCCAAATTCACTCCAAAATCACCCCAAACCAACCCAAATTACCCCAAAATTCACCCCAAAATCACTCCAAAATTTACTCTGAAATCACCGCAAAATCCACCCCGAATCACCCCAAAATTAACACCTAAATCCACCCAAATTCACCCTAAACCACCCAAAATCCATCCAAATTCACCCCAAAATCAACCCCAAATCGCCCCAAATCCCCCCAAAATCCACCCAAATCCCCCCAAAATTTGGGGTTTTCTGCTCCTCCCCCAGGACCGGGACCTGAAGCAGTACCTGGACGATTGTGGGAACGTCATCAGCATGCACAACGTCAGGGTGGGCTTGGGGGATTTTGGGGGATTTTGGGGATTTTGGAGATTTTTGGGATTTTGGGGGGGAGTTGGGGATTTTTTCGGATGATTTGGGTGGGATTTTGGGTGGTTTTGGGGGGATTCTGGGGGGTTTTGGGGGGTTTGGGGTCATCAGCATGGACAATGGGTGTTTTCGGGGGGATTTTGGGGCTCTCTGGTTTCCCAGGGAGGTTTAGGGGCCACAGAGGGACTGGCACTGTCCCTGGCTGTCCCCAAGGGTCCCCTGTGTGTCCCTGGGTGTCCCCATGTGTGTCCCCTGTCTGTCCCCGACGGTCCCCTGTGTGTCCCTGTCTGTCCCCGAGTGTCCCTTGGATGTCCCTTGGGTGTCCCCCTGGATGTGCCTTAGTGTCTCTTGGGCACCCTGGGTGTCCCTGAGTCCCCTGGATGTCCCTTAGGTGTCCCTGAGTGTCCCCGGGTGTCCCTTGTCTGTCCCCTGTCTGTCCCTGGGTGTCCCTGAGTGTCCCCTGGATGCGCTCTGGATGTCCTTGGGTGTCCCCGGGTGTCCTGTCTGTCCCCAAGGATTCCCTGTCTGTCCCCATGGATGTCCCCGTGTGTCCCCGAGTGTCCCCAGGTGTCCCTGTCTGTCCCCTGGGTGTCCCTGTCTGTCCCCTGGATGTGCCTGGGGTGTCCCCATGGATGTCCCTGGGTGTCCCCTAAATGTCCCTTGGGTGTCCCCATCGATGTCCCTGAGTGTCCCTCTCTGTCCCCTGGGCGTCCCTGAGTGTCCCCTAGGTGTCCCTGGGTGTCCCTGAGTGTCCCCTAGATGTCCCTGTCTGTCCCCGCGTGTCCCCATGGATGTCCCCAGGTGTCCCCTGTCTGTCCCTCTCTGTCCCTGTCTGTCCCTTGGGTGTCCCCATGGATGTCCCTGAGTATCCCCTGGGTGTCCCTGTCTGTCCCCGGGTGTCCCCTAGATGTCCCTGGCTGTCCCCTGGATGTCCCCAAGTGTCCCCCGGGTGTCCCCGGGTGTCCCCAGGGCGCTGATGTCCCTTTGGGGTGGGGGCAGCTCTTCCTGTTCCAGCTCCTGCGGGGTCTCGCCTTCTGCCACCGCCACAAGGTTCTGCACCGCGACCTCAAACCGCAGAACCTGCTGCTCAGCCGCCGGGGGGACCTCAAGCTGGCAGACTTCGGTCAGGGCACCCCAAAACCTGACTTGGGACCCCAAAAACCTCCCCTGGGACCCCAAAAACCTCCCCTGGGACCCCAAAAACCTCCCCTGGGACCCCAAAAACCTCCCCTGGGACCCCAAAAACCTCCCCTGGGACCCCAAAAACCTCCCCAAATCCCCTCAGAAATCCACCAGGGTGACCTCAAACTGGCAGATTTCGGTCAGGGCACCCCAAAACCTTCCCTGGGACCCCAAAAACCCCCCAAAATCCCCTCAGAAATCCATAAAACCCCCCAAAACCCCATAAACCTTCCCAGGATCCCATAAACCTTCCCAGGACTGCTCAGCCGCCGGGGGGACCTCAAGCTGGCAGATTTCGGTCAGGGCACCCCAAAACGTGCTCTGGGACCCCAAAAACCTCCCCTGGGATCCCCAAAACCTTCCCCGGGACCCCAAAAACACCCCCTGGGACCCCAAAACCCCATAAACCTTCCCAGGATTGCTCAGCCGCCGGGGGGGGACCTCAAACTGGCAGATTTTGGTCAGGACACCCCAAAACCTGACTTGAGACCCCAAAAACCTCCCTTGGGACCCCAAAAACCCCCCAAAATCCCCTCAGAAATCCATAAGCCCCAGGCCTGGCCCGGGCCAAGTCCATCCCCACCAAGACGTTCTCGAGCGAGGTGGTGACGCTGTGGTACCGCCCGCCCGACATCCTGCTGGGCTCCACCGAGTACAGCACCCAGATCGACATGTGGTGGGCACTGGGAGGGACTGGGAGGGACTGGGATGGGCACTGGGATATACTGGGAGGGACTGGGAGGGACTGGGATGGGCACTGGGATATACTGGGAGGGACTGGGAGGGACTGGGATGGGCACTGGGATATACTGGGAGGGACTGGGAGGGACTGGGATGGGCACTGGGATATACTGGGAGGGACTGGGAGGGACTGGGATGGGCACTGGGATATACTGGGAGGGACTGGGAGGGACTGGGATGGGCACTGGGATATACTGGGAGGGACTGGGAGGGACTGGGATGGGCACTGGGATATACTGGGAGGGACTGGGAGGGACTGGGATGGGCACTGGGATATACTGGGAGGGACTGGGAGGGACTGGGATGGGCACTGGGATATACTGGGAGGGACTGGGAGGGACTGGGATGGGCACTGGGATATACTGGGAGGGACTGGGAGGGACTGGGATGGGCACTGGGATATACTGGGAGGGACTGGGATGGGCACTGGGATTCACTGGGATGGGCACTGGGGGGGCACTGGGATATACTGGGATTCACTGGGAGGGACTTTGGGATTTTGGGGGTCCCACGGGGGTAATTTTGGGGTGTTTGGGGTGTCTCTGCCAGGGGAGGCAGTTTGGGATTTTGGGGTAACTTTGGGGTAATTTTGGGGGATTTTTGGGTCTTCTCTGTCATGAGGGTCAGTTTGGGATTTTTGGGGTCATTTCAGGGATAATTTTGGGGTAATTTCAGGGATAATTTTGGGGTAATTTTTGGGGTCTCCTTCCAGGGGGGTCAGTTTGGGATTCTTTTTTTTTCTTAATTTCAGGGATTTTGGGGTTAATTTCAGGGATATTTTTGGGATTTTTGGGGTAATTTCAGGGATAATTTTGGGATTTTTGGGGTAATTTCAGGGATAATTTTGGGGTAATTTCAGGGATAATTTTGGGATTTTGGGGGTAATTGCAGGGATAATTTTGGGGTAATTGCAGGGATAATTTTGGGATTTTGGGGGTAATTTCAGAGATAATTTTGGGATTTTGGGGGTAATTGCAGGGATAATTTGGGATTTTGGGGTAATTTCAGGGATTATTTTGGGTGTGATTTCAGGGATAATTTTGGATTTTTGTGATAATTTCAGGGATAATTTTAGGATTCTGGGATAATTTGGGGGTTTTTGGGGTCTCCCTTCAGGGGGGTCGATTTGGGATTTTGGGGGTAGTTTCTGGGATAATTTTGGGGTAATTTCAGGGATAATTTTGGGGTAAGTTTTGGGGTCTCCCTCCAGGGGGGTCGGCTGCATCTTCTCGGAGATGGTGACGGGGCGGCCGCTGTTCCCCGGGGCCACCGTGGAGGAGCAGCTGCACTTCATCTTCCGCCTGCTGGGTGGGTCTGGGGCAAAACCCGGGGGATTTGGGAAAATTGGGGGGTTTGGGGGAAATCGGGCAAATCCAGGTGGAAATTGGGCAAAACTGGGCAAGATTTGGGGGAAATCTGGGGGGGGTTTGGGTCAAATCCAGGGGGGATTTGGGGTAAATCAGGGGGGACTTGGGGAAATCCAGGGGGATTTGGGGAAATCCAGGGGGATTTGGGGGAATTTGAGGGGTTTGGAGGAAAATCTGGGGGGATTTAGGGGAAATCTGGGGGGATTTGGGTCAAATCTGGGGGATTTGGGCAAATCCAGGTGGAAATTGGGCAAATCTGGGGGGAATTTGGGGGAAATCTGCGGAGATTTGGGGTAAATCCAGGGGGTTTGGGGTAAATACAGGGGGTTTGAGGTGAATCCAGGAGAATTTGGGGTAAATCCAGGGGGTTTGGGGCAAATCCGGGGGGGTTTGGGGTAAATCCAGGGGGTTTTGGGAAACGTGGGGGTGCTGACCCCTGTCCCCCCCCGTGTCCCCCCTTCAGGGACCCCGACGGAGGAGACGTGGCCGGGCATCGGTGCCAACGCCGAGTTCCGGGCACACAAATACCCCCTGTACCCCCCCGAGGGGCTGCGGCAGCACGCGCCACGGTCAGGGGACAGCGAGGGGACAGCGGGGGACAGGGGGGGACAGCGCGGTGGCACCTGGCCCGGGGGGTGGCACACGGGGTGGCACTTGGCCCGGGGGTGGCACCTGTCCCATAGAATGGCACCTGTCCCGTGGGGTGGCTTCTGTCCTTTGGGATGGCACCTGTCCCGTGAGGGTGGCACATGGGGTGTCACTGTCCCCTGGGTGGCTCTGTCCCCCGGGTGTCACAGTCCCCTGGGTGTCACTGTCCCCGGGTGTCACTTTCTGGGGTGTCACTGTCCCCTGGTGTCACTGTCCCTGGTGTCACAGTCCCTGGGGTGTCACTGTCCCTGGTGTCACTGTCCCCGGGTGTCACTTTCTGGGGTGTCACTGTCCCCTGGTGTCACTGTCCCCTGGTGTCACTGTCCCTGGTGTCACTGTCCCTGGTGACACTGTCCCTGGTGTCACTGTCCCCTGGGGGTGTCACTGTCCGTGTCCCTCTGTCCCCAGGCTGGACCAGGACGGCGCCGATCTCCTGGGGCAGCTGCTGCAGGTGAGCTGGGCGTGGCCTGCGCTAGCCCCGCCCCCTTCGGCCACACCCTCCCCACCCCCTCCCTCCATGGGCGTGGCTCCCCGGGAGGGGGTGGGGAAGCAGCCACGCCCCTTTGGTGGGCGTGGGTGGGGTTGCATAGCCACGCCCCTTTGTGGGCGTGTCCCACGGGTGGGCGTGGCCTGACGTGGGCGGGGCAGTTCGAGGGGCGGCGCCGGGTGCCGGCGGCGGAGGCCATGGGACACGCCTTCTTCAGCTGCCTGGGGCCGCGCGTCAGCGCCCTGCCCGACAGTGAGTGGGCGGGGCCAAGGGGGCGGGGCCTAAAGGGTGGGGCAATGGGGTGGGGTTTTACATGGGTGGGGCATTGGGTGGGTGGGGCATTGGGGAAGGGTTGGGGAGGGGCATTGAGGTGGGTGTGGCATGGGGCGGGGCTTTGCATGGGTGTGGCACTGAGACTTTGGGTGTGGCAATGGGGGCGGGGTTTTGCATGGGTGTGGCAGTGGATGAAAGTGGGTGTGGCACTGGGGGCGGGACTTCACATGGGTGTGGCATTGGAAGGGCAGTGCCAGTGGGGTGGGATTTGGGGTGGGGCATTGGGATGGGTGTGGCACTGGGGGCGGAGCTTCATATGGGGCGGGGCTTCACATGGGTGTGGCGTTGGGGGCGGGGCTTCACATGGGTGTGGCACTGGGGGTGGGGTACTGGGAGGGTGGTACCAATGGGGGGTTTAGGGTGTGGCACTGGGGGGAGGGGATTCACGAGGTTGTGGTGTTGGGGGAGGGGCTTCCATGGCTTCCATGGGTGTGGCTCTTTCACTGGGTTTCACTTTGGTGTTGGGGGTGGGGCTTCACGTGGGTGGGGCTTACAGTGGGTGTGGCTTTGGGGCGGGGCTTGTCTGGGTGTGGCTTTTCCATGGGTGGTGCTATGCTATGGATGAATGGGTGGGGCTTAACCACGGGTGGGTGGAGCTATGCAAATCAGAGGGTGTGGGTTTCTAGGGGGTGTGGCTTGTGCTGACCACGCCCCCTGTTTGTGTCCCCGCCCCCTCAGCCACGTCGATCTTCGCGCTGAAGGAGATCCAGCTGCAGAAGGAGCCGGGGCTGCGCTCGGGACCCCTGCCCCCCACGGGTGAGACCCCAAAACAATGAACCCCAAAAACCTGAACCCAAAACCCCTGAACCCCAAAACTCTGATCCCCAAAACACTGAACCCCAAAACTATCCAAATCCTGAACCCCAAAAACCCCTGATCCCCAAAACTCCGAACCCAAAAACCCTGATCCCCAAAACCCTGATTCCCAAAACATTGAGCCCCAAAAACCCCAAAACCCCGAACCCCAAAACCCTGAACCCCTGAACCCCAAAATACCTGAACCCCAAAACCTTGAACCCAAAAACCCCGAACCCCAAACCCTGAACCCCTGAACCCCAAAACCCCAAAAACCCCGACCCAAGGGTGAGACCCCAAACCCTGAACCCCAAACCCCTGAACCCCAGAAACCTGAACCCAAAAACCTGAACCCCAAACCCTGAACCCCAAAACCCTGAACCCCAAATCCTGAACCCCAAAAAAACCAACCCTAAAAACCTCCTGAACCCAAACCCTGAACCCCAAACCAATCCAAACCCCAAAAACCCCTGAACCCCCACAGGTCACGTGGGTGATTTTGGGGGGTTTTGGGTTCTTTTGAGGTGATTTTGGGGTTTTTGGGGGTTTTTTTGGGGTCCCCCCCATTTTTTGGGGGGTTCTCCCCCCCCCGGTTTACGTCGAGTTTTATTTTTTCAAGGCAATATTATAAATCAGAGTCTATATTGGCCCCTCCCCCACCCGGGGCGGGGCCCGAGGGGGCGGGGCCCGAAGGGGGAGGGGCCAAAAGGGGCGGGGCCGTGTGGGGAGCGGGGGAGGGGAGCTTACTCGGAGGTTACTCGTGCTTTACTCCAGGGTTACTCGGGGCTGCGGCGTCGCTTGGGGGGGTTCCCCCGCCGGGCTGGGCTGGGGTTACTCCGGGGTTACTCCGGGGTTACTCCAAGGCTGGGCCTACTTCACTCCATGGTTAGTTACTCTGTGGTTACTCAGACTTTACTCCAGGGTTACTTAGACTTTACTCCAGGATTATTCCAGGGTTACTCCATGGTTCCTCTGGGGTTACTCGGACTTTACTCCAACTTTACTCCAAGGCTGGACCCACTTCACTCCGTTGTTACTCTGTGATTGCTCTGTGGTTACTCCAGGGTTGCTACAACTTTACTCCAGGGTTACTCAGACTTCACTCCGTGGTTACTCCAGGGTTACTCAGACTTTACTCCAAGGCAGCTCAGGCCCAGCTCTGGGCCACCCCTGCCCTACTCCAGGGTTACTCCAGGGTTACTCCTCAGCCGGTCTCTGCTCCTGCTCTTGGTTACTCCTGAGTTACTCCTGAGTTACTCCAGGTTCTCACTCAGAGCCTGCTCAGGACTCGACTCCTACTCAGACTTTACTCCGGAGTTACTCACGGCCAGGGCGGGGTCTTCACTCAGCTCTTACTCCGCTCTTATTCCGGGCTCCTCCTGCAGACCCTTACTCTGCGTTTACTCCGAGATTACTCCGAGCCTGTGAGGTGCTCGGGACCTGCAGGCCGAACTTACTCCTGACTTACACCAGGCTTACTCAGCTCCTTACTCCGGCCTTGCTCAGCTCCCCCTTTTTGGGTTGTTTTCGGTCCTTTTGCGCTACTCAGACCTTACTCACCCCTTACTCCGGGTGCTTTGCTCCTCTTTGCCTTTGCTCCGCCCTTACTCTGCCCTTACTCAGCGCTTCCTGCTCGGAGCTTACTCCCAGCCTACTCAGCCTTTACTCCCAGCTTACTCAGCCTTTACTTGGAGGTTACTCAGCCTTGACTCACAGCTTACTCAGCCCTTACTCCGTGGTAACTCCGCCCCCATGGCCTGGGGTTACTCCACCTTTACTCAACCTAGACCAAGCCCCTCCCCCTCCTCCCCAGCCCCTCCCCCTGCTGCTCCGAGGTTGCTCAGTCTTTACTCACACCTTACTCCACGCTGCTCCGGGTGTTACTGCGAGGATACTCCCAGGATACTCCAAGGATGCTCACGCTTTACACTCAGCTCTTACTCCGAGGTTACTCCGAGGTTACTCCGACCCTGATTTTGCACAGCCGGGAGGGGAGTAGCCCTTACTCAGGAGTTACTCACTCCTCACTCCAGGCCGGGCCTTGGCGCCTGGTTACTCACGATTTACTCCGAGGGGACACTTTACTCCGGGGTTACTCACACCTTACTCTAAGGTGGGGTTTTGCTGTGGGGTTACTCTCACGTTACTCTGGGGCTACTCTAGTAGTTACTCCAAGGTGATGTTTTACACCGGGGTTACTCACGCGTTACTCCAGGCTGACACTTCACTCCGGGCTGGTTTCACTCCGGGGTTACTCACATGTTACTCCGAGGTGGGGCTTTACTCCGGGGTTACTCCGGGGTTACTCTCACGTTACTCCGGGGTTACTCCCAGGTGATATTTTACTCCGAGGTTACTCCGAGGTTCCTCCCCCAGCCTCACTCAGGACCGCCCCTCCCCCCCAGCCCATGGGGGCGGGGCTTGGCTCTGCAGGGGGCGGAGTCTCTGTGGCCCCGCCCCCACTTTGGGAGGGGGGAGGGGCCCCTGACCGCAATGGGGGG